AAAATATATATTTTATTGAGTTTCGCAGCTTTTATTAATATTCGGTGTCTCCTCCTTTGGCACGTATAAAAGCAGATACACAAGTGAAGTATAAAATGAAAGGATTTAAAAGCACGAATGTTTATTTTATACATAAGACAAATATAATACCTAAAATAAATAATAATATTGTAGCGTAGAAACCAAGCCTCGAAATATCCTAAGATGTAAAAGTATTTATTGATGACGTCACAGCGACGAGTCGACAATTATTAACAGGTCAGCCCCCAAAACTATTTACAGCTAGAGAATCTTAAGCAAGTAAGCAGAGAAATATTTTAAGATGATTTCACAAAAACAGATTAATATATATTTTATAATCTGTTGAATATATTTTCATTGAATAATATTAAATTAAATAATAAAATATTTCTTCGTCACATAGCCTCCTCCTATAGAGAGCATCGACCCGATGCTCAGCAGAAGACTTACGTCGTCAGTCTTAAGAACTAGTACTATGGCCAGGGATATTTTCAGGTGACTGCGGTGGATGTCTTCTTTCAGTTGAGATATCTTCTTCATGAGGACTTGGTAGGTCTATGTTTACGTCAAGGTAGCTTTTTCTAATTTCTACTGTGGTCGGCAAGGGGAGTTTTATAACTTTACGGCCTCCCCTCCAATGTGGTCTATCATCTAGTTTTAATGGCGGGGCGTCCAGCTAGATCTTCTAGCAGGTGAGAAATGTCTGTTTCGACCGCGATATGAAGTAGGGCTTCGGTAGCGAGTGAAAGTTTTCCTCGATGATTCGTCATTGGGGTCCTGAGATTCAGCTCGAGAGTTGTAGGATACCATTGCGTCTTGCTTTCTTTGGAAATAGTCATTTCTCCTTTCCTCATTGTGTCTCTTCCTGTCACAGCAATAGCGCACGACGTGACCTGGGCTTCCGCAGTAGAAACAGATAGGCCTTCCCTCAGTTGTACGCCAATCATTGGTGTTGCGTTTTCCTCCTTGTTTTGGGTATCGAGGTTCAGGGTGCGGTCTTATCGTTTCGGCCTCATATCTAGTATTTAAAAACTGTCGGGGTCTTTCCTTCTGAGGGGGACTTCTCCTAGACTTTGAGATTGGCGCCAGGGTTCTTCCAATCTCCTCCTTTACAATTTCTTCGATTGTAGCATTTTTTGGTTCCTCCCGAGGAGAGCCTAATGCCCGCTGTACCTCCTCACGAACAATTTGCCTAATCATAGATGACAGATCTTCTCCGTCATCCTGGTCACAGAGAGAGGCTACATTTGGTAGGCGCTCGTACCTGGTTGTGGTAACTCGCCTACAACGGAGCGCTTCGACACGGCGACATTCTGTAATGAATTGCTCGGTGCTCTGTACATCCCTCGGTAGGAGTGCTTGATAAAGCTCCTCAGCTATCCCCTTCATGAGGTGGGAGATTTTATCTTCCTCGCTCATTTGAGGATCAACCTCTTTGCACAAGCACAGGACATCCTGGATGTAACATTCGGTACTTTCACCTTTTAATTGTGCCCGTGTTTTATGTTTCTTCTCCGCTTGCAATTTTGAATTTTCTTTTTTTCCGAACACATTCTCTAATTGAGATTTGAATTCCTTCCAAGTCTGTATGCTTTCTTCGTTGTTCTCAAACCATTTGAGAGCAGTTCCAGACAGATAAAAATAAACTTTAGTAAGACAAAGGGTTTCGTCCCAATGGTTGTACTTTGCCACACGTGCATACCCTTTTAACCATTTTTGGAGATCTTCACCATTCTCCCCGGAGAAAATGGAAGGGTTCCTTGGCAGATGTTGAACAACGTAGTTGCTTACCTGAGTACCTTCCTTCTTTACATTCATAGAAGTTTCTTCTGGTTCAACAGAATCAATTTTTCTTTTATTTCTTAATGGGTATCGGTCCAGTCTCTCCACCAGTTGTAGCGTAGAAATCAAGCCTCGAAATATCCAAAGATGTAAAAGTATTTATTGATGACGTCACAGCGACGAGTCGACAATTATTAACAGGTCAGCCCCCAAAACTATTTACAGCTAGAGAATCTTAAGCAAGTAAGCAAAGAAATATTTTAAGATGATTTCACAAAAACAGATTAATATATATTTTTATAATCTGTTGAATATATTTTCATTGAATAATATTAAATTAAATAATAAAATATTTATTCGTCACAATATTATATAATATAATAAATGAATATATAATATATATAATAAATAAAAAATAAAATACTGTAATACAGATTTTCTATAGCTTCTCTTGTCGGATACTAGACAATTTCAATTTTCCCGAAGCTATTGAAGATTATTTGGGTTCCCATATCTTTCTCCACGTCATGTTCCATGCATACTTAAGTGGTAAAGATCTGCTGGAAATGCGGGCCAGGGAAGGATGTCAACATTTTGAAGGAAGGATCGTGAGAGTTTGGCTGTATATGTGGTCGGACATTACCTTGTTGGAAAATGGAATTTTTAGTCTGCTCAAGAAACGGTAAGACAACAGGTTGCAACACATCTGTAATATATAGCTGAGTAGACATTGTGTCTTGAATAAAGAATAATAAGGCCAAGGATTCTTGCTATATGCCTTTCCATAATAGTCCTGATAGGAATTTTCTTGGAGCCTACGTCTAACATGTATCCTGCCGTCATGAACCCCCAAACTGAATATTCTTTCATTGTAAAAATGGCATAATACCGATCAGCAGTCCAAAGACTTATCACTTCGCACCAGCTGAGCCTGTCGCTTCTGTGTCTGGCAGAGAGTGGAATTATTAATAAAGACCTGCGACTACGGAGTTCTGCTTCGATAAAACGGTTATTAATGGTGTTCAAAGTCCAGATTCATTCTACACATGTATAATTGCTTGAATCATTGATACAGTTGTTGTCTGTCTGCTATAACTATCCTCAAATCTTCTCACTCTCTCTGTTGTTACTCTAGGGCTATCTGTATTTAAAGTTTCTTTTCCTCTGACCACTGAGACAAAATCCTTACAAGAGTACTTTCATTGCAGCCTACTTTCATAGAAATTTCACTAGTCGAAATTCCACTTTCTCTGAGGCCTATGATTTTTAAAATCATCCTTTAAAATCAGAAAAAAATTGTATGACGCCTTTTTCTCTTTCGTAGAATAAATTCTGAAATGTATAGATAATCATAAGAAAAAATAACTGAGATACATCTTTAATTATAAATTCGCAAAACCTAGGAGAGGTTATTTAAATACCCTTTCATGAATAAACAAGGCTATTTTTATGTATTTGTATTCTTGTTACGGTTTGAGAAAATTGATCATTTACATATCTTAATGATTTTATTAAATATGCAAATTTTCTCAAATTTTGTTGAAGTGTTTATATAAAAAATAAACAAAATGGCTTCAGAGGGTAAGTTTTTTGTTTTAATTTATATTTATCTCTTGTGTTTATAGGTTATGTCATTTATTTTTTTGGCCAAAAATATATATACGTATATACTTTATTCTATTCATGAAATGAACTGATTCTCTGCAGATTTCTTACTAAGTGCAGTCGTTTGGTAAAAGAAAATGAAATATTTATTATCAAAATATATTTATGAGTATTCTTTTAGTGAATAAGCAAAATAAATTACAGAGTTAATATATAATATAATAATTCTATATTATTAAGTGCGTGTATGTGTGAATGCCTGGAACTAAAAGATAAATCCTTTATTTTTATATAAAAGACAAATATCTACATTGCTTTTAAGAACTAACTAGAAGGAATACATTGATTAAAAAAACAATGGCTTCTTAGAAATAATGTTTAAAATGTTTATAATCAAAAATGTATTAAATTAAATGAAATATATATATATTTTACTTTTCCCAAGTACACGTGGTACAGGCCATGATAATCATGGTGTATAGAAGTAGGCGTCTGCTTTTACTGTAAGTGCACCACATGTCTACATATGTGAAAAACAGTTCGACTTTGCACTTACAAATGTGCCAGAGCCCCGTTTGGTTACTTGTACTCACTAGTGGGGTTGGACGTTTGCATGAATCGGGGGCCATTGGAGCATTTTTTTATCAGAAAAAAAAGTGCCCAATGCGGGAATCGAACCCGGGTCGTAGCGATCGAAAACCGAATATATATACTTATAATAAATTTGGTAGTTTTATACCTATATATTAGGATCTTTAAATAAAAAGGAATATATTTGATCAAAATATTGGTAAAATAAATGATATTTTGATCCAATATATGCCTTTTCAATTAAAGATAATTTATGGATTGCTCTAATTTCAATATATATATATATATAAAATAAAAGGATTTAAAAGCGCGAATGTTTCTTTTATACATAAAACGAACTTATATGTATAGATGGCGCGTTATTGCTTTGTGTTAATATATATATATATATATATAAGGAAATATATACAGTATTGATATATAATTTGCATATATCAACTCCAGCGTTGAATGAATACAATTATGCTTGAAAAATAATTTTCCGATATTTCATTGCAAAGTAATTACAGTTTTCTTTCAGCAATTGAGTATATTTTTATTGAAAAGCATTATACTTGAGAGTCCGTAAAAATATTTATGATGCCAAAATTAGATATAAATATGTTTATTCATAGTAAACTGTAGTTATATTTTTGATAAGGCACAATTTGGATTATAGATTATAAAAACAAGGAAACAAGACAATATCCAAATAAATAAATAGTGTGTGATGTTTCAGTAAAAGCATTGTTACCATCTTCAGACAATCAATTTTATATATAATATAATTCTGTACTTTTGTCTGAAGATGGTGAAACCGCTGTTACCGAAACATCACATACTATTTATTTATTTGGATTTGGTCTTATTACCTTGTGTATATAGTTAAATTTTTAAGACCCTATATAGATATTTTATTTATATAACTATTTGTTAGCTAACAGTTCTTTTAAATGAAGATGTTTAAATAAGGAATTAGCGCACCATTTATATACAGCACAATTAAAACCGGGGGAGGGGGGGGGTCGGTGGATGAATGGTCTAAATTATTGGTTTTCGACCGCTACGACCCGGGTTCGATTCCCGCATTGGGCACTTTTTTTCTGATTAAAAACATAAATAAAATGCTCCAATAGCCCCCGATTCTTGCAAAAGTCCAACCCCACCAGCGAGTGCAAGTAACCAAACGAAGTTTTTGCACATTCGTAAGTGCAAGGTCGAAATGCTTTTCACATGTGTAGACATATGGTGCACTTACAGTAAAAGCAGTCGCCTACTTCTACCCACCATGATTATCATGGGCTGTACCACGTATACTTAGGGATAAGCAAAAGAAAAAAAAAACAATTAAAACCTTTTTCGCGATATATTTTCATTTTTACAAATAGAAAACAAACTTCTACCTTATTTACATACAAGTAAGAATTACATAGAAGTTCTATTAGTGAAATAAATAATCGTTAAAATTACGGTGAACCCGAATAAGTTGCCTCATTCTCTTAATCAGATCCCTATAATGACTCTTTCTACCAGGTATAAAAAGATATCGAACCCAATTAACTCTGGTAAAAACTAATGTTTTTTTGTTTAAGATAATTTAAGGATTTATTTGTACTAACTCGATTAAAGTAAACCATTTAATGACTAATGTAAATAAAACTATATATACAACTATGATACATTGGCGTGCCATCTGTTATGTGAATTTGACACTATTATAGAGGTGTATGATTCTTTTAAAAATAGAACAATTTCTACTGCCCTTACTGTAATGAAAATTCTCTCCTATTAATCTTTCATTGCAGTGAGTGCAATAGAAAATTCTTCAATTTAAAAAAATAATTATTATTATTTGCCTCTATAATGGTTTCTCTGGAGATTTAGCAACCCACTGAAGACACTGAGAACTATTTCAGAAAAGAAAAATATAGCAATAGAACTATAATTTCTACAGATCAATTGCAAATAGATTCATACACAAAAGAGGAAAGTTTTAGAACAGATGTGTAAACAAATCACCCTTTTCAAACAAAGGCTCACGTGCACATGGGGAAAGGGAGAAAAAAATACTGCATTGTTATTGTATGGCGAATCCATACAGGGCAATGAGCCTTAATAAAAGCCTTTTAGTTGTTGTTGTTGTTATAATAGTTTCAAATTCTTAGAGTTATATATATATATATATGTTATTAGGAAAAGGCGCAAAAAATATATATATTTTACTTCTAATTATAGGATGTATCTCAATATACAGTTGAGTCTCCCATTTAAGACAATCGCTTTAAAACAAAGCTAAAACCAGTCTCTCCTTGAGATGGCCTCTTATCAGAGACTCTGTAATGTAAGGCCAATTCACGAGGAATCTTCAAACTGAAACAGAGTCTCTGATGAGAGACTACCTCCAGAAGAGACCTAGTATAGTCATGTCTTAATTCAATGGCCTCTCATGGGTAACTTCACTTTTGAATGTCGTTAAATCATAAGTTTCCAGATTATAAAATATCTTATTTTAAAATACCTTTGCAAAGATTCATCATTTGAACTGATAATAAAATCAAAGTAATACTCTATTAATGCGATAAGGCGGATTAAACTGGCTAAATCGCTCGTAGGGTTCATTACTGATGAGCCAATCCCTTACAATAGATATTTTAGGTCTCGCTAAAATACAGATAGAGTGCAATTGCAATATAATAATTTTGAATTATTTTTCCATCAGAGAGGGAATGTAAACACGTAACTAAACATTGATAAATGCGTTTAAAATTTAGCGATATAGTGCATATAGTCCTATGTAGAAGGGTTACCTCCAAAAGCTACCAATTTGAATTGTTTTAATCTAATCCAACCTCTGATAAACGACAAACTCCAGTAAAATTAAGGATTATCTGCAGGTGTTTGTACTTCTTCCAATTACACGTGATATAGGTTAGGATAACTATGGTGAGTGGTAGGCGACTGCTTTTACTGTAGACATACCATATGTCTACACTTGTTCGACTTTTGTATTTATATAGTCCTGTTTGATTGCTTGCACTCACTACTGGAGCCTTTGAAGAATTCTAGGGCTATTGAAGAAATATATATATAGGAAAATGTGCCCAGTGTGGGATTCAATCCCGGCACAAGGTTGTCAGAAACCGATGGATGATTCTATAGTACGTTTGAAAATTCAGTCCAATCTTTATAGCAATAAAAATGTCACCACATATTAGAACGTATTGCTAACTGGCAAACTTTAGATTACAAAATCACCGTTTCTACAAACTGTTGTGATCTTTCAAACCAGTTAATATATAGGGATATCCTGGCCGTGCTCACATGAACATTTCTAGATGGCAGAGCGTCATTTCTCACACATATATATCATAAAAATGAAAAAGAAATATCCTGACCAGGAGCACATGTGCTTTTTAGATGGCAGAACGCCATCTGGTGAAACAGAAATCAACTAAAAAAAAACTTTAATTTAGTCTGTTATATTTGTCCAACTCAATTTCTTGATAAATCAAGAAAAGCCATCCACGAACGCGTTTCGCGCTGTTGGCGCTCGTCAGCGTGGAGTAGGCTGTACCACTGCGACCAAAAATAATTTTGGTCCCAGAGGCCTATTGAAAAACCAATAAATAATTATTTAAGGTCAAACCTGCGTAAATACGCTTAACACATGAAAAAAAATAGAAAAAATAAAAAGGTAAGGATATAATATATATATCTAAGAGGCAACGCTCAAAAGCTTACCGAATATTCAATAGAGTAGACTATTGGTCTTTCAGTCTCTCTTGAAAGTAGTCTCTTATTAGAGAATACTTCAGTTAAAAGTGTTCTCGTGACATGATCTGAAATGAAATGGTCTCTGACCAGAGAAAACCTCCAGTAGAGACTGAGTTTTGGTATTTTAGACAGTCTTTCAAGGGAGCCTATATTGAATTATAATTCAGTCTATCATATTTCTTATTAAATTATTTTTTTCTTTTATTAGCCATTCTCAATCTCCTGTATATGGCGAGTAACGGTCAATATTCTGCTGAAATGTTTTTATAACACCATTTAATTGGAATATAAAACAATCCTTATGTGTTCTCAATCAGCATGAGGCTCAATATGTTTCCAATTTACACATTCCTTATTTTATATATTTTCCGTATTAGTTTGCCATTGTGACTTAACGACATATAACAATAAAGTTTCACAACCATCAGAAACCATACATCACTGAACCTGGACTCTCCTAGAGATTGTATCTTATCAGACATCTGTTTAAGATAAAAAGAATCTTCATGACTTGAGTTTTAATTTTAAAAATATATTTTAATTATTATTTATTAGATCTTTATAGAATTACTAGACGAATGGCCCGGGCAACGCCCGGGTTTTACCCGGGGGGGGAATATATTTTAAAAACGTTGTCTTGGGTGGTCGCTATAGACAGGGTGGTCTGTATAGACAGGTGTATGTATCACACAGCCGATAACAGGGTTGTCTAGAGTGGCCGCTATAGACAGGGTGGTCTGTATAGACAGGTGTATGTATCACACTGCTGATACCAGGGTTGCCTAAGGTGACCGCTATAGACAGGGTGGTCTGTATAGACAGGTGAATGTAACACACTAATGATAACAGGGTTGCCTAAGGTGACCGCTATATACAGGGTGGCCTGTATAGACAGGTGGATGTATCACACAGCTGATAACAGGGTTGTCTAGAGTGGCCGCTATAGACAGGTGTATGTATCACACAGCTGATAACAGGGTTTTCTAGAATGGCCGCTATATACAGGGTGGTCTGTATAGACAGGTGGATGTAACACACTGCTGATTACAGGGTTGCCTAAAGTGTCCGCTATAGACAGGGTGGTCTGTATAGACAGGTGAATGTAACACACTGCTGATAACAGGGTTGTCTAGAATGGCCGCTATAGACAGGTGTATGTATCACACAGCTGATAACAGGGTTGTCTAGAGGGGGGCAGGGAGGACACGTGTTCGCCGGCAGCCAATGGGCGCGCATTCTATCCGTGAGCTTCAGACAGAATATATAAGGCAATTATATATATAGATTTATAATTATACTATTCATAATCCATATGTTTTATATAATAATTATAATGTTAATATATAATATTATATTATCTAATTATTTTGAGGCTGTATATATACTGGATATAATATTTAAATCTGATGGGTAATTCCTTCGTTGCTATTACAGAAAGAGTGTGGCGCTCACGTGTTTTAATACATGCTCGATAAAAAGAAGAGAGTTGCCCCTCGAAATATTGGGAAAATAAAAATACTTCTAAATCCAATATATGTTCATTTTTTCTGAAATTCTTAATAGGTATAAGAAATGAAAGAATTTAAGCACGAATGAAAGCAATTACTCTTCTTACTGAGATGTGAAAATATTGGGAGGGCTTGGTTCATCATTAGTAGACCCTTACAGCGGTTTCGCCAATTTGATCTACCATATCCTTACTGCGATGTGAAAATATTGGGAGGGCTTGGTTCATCATTAGTAGACCCTTACAGCGGTTTGGCCAATTTGATCTACCATATCCTTACTGCGATGTGAAAATATTGGGAGGGCTTGGTTCATCATTAGTAGACCCTTACAGAGGTTTCGCCAATTTGATCTACCATATCCTTACTGCGATGTGAAAATATTGGGAGGGCTTGGTTCATCATTAGTAGACCCTTACAGAGGTTTCGCCAATTTGATCTACCATATCCTTACTGCGATGTGAAAATATTGGGAGGGCTTGGTTCATCAGTAGTAGACCCTTACAGAGGTTTCGCCAATTTGATCTACCATATCCTTACTGCGATGTGAAAATATTGGGAGGGCTTGGTTCATCAGTAGTAGACCCTTACAGAGGTTTCGCCAATTTGATCTACCATATCCTTACTGCGATGTGAAAATATTGGGAGGGCTTGGTTCATCAGCAGTAGACCCTTACAGCGGTTTCGCCAATTTGATCTACCATATCCTTACTGCGATGTGAAAATATTGGGAGGGCTTGGTTCATCAGCAGTAGACCCTTACAGTGGTTTCGCCAATTTGATCTACCATATCCTTACTGCGATGTGAAAATATTGGG